ACAGGAGGCAAAAAATAAGCAAAGCATCCTCAGGGATGACTACAGTCTACACATTTTGGGGCAGTTTCATGGACATTTGTAGGACATTTCATCTCTCAAGGCTATCGGCGTTTCATGGAACAACTACCTGAGCATCAGAGATACTATTATTTGATACACACAGCCCCACTCTCACCCTTCACCTTTGGTTATGTCATTAGAGTTGTGTGGACATTTCTCATTGAGTATCTGAATTTCACACAGAAGTTTAATGAATTTAAATAGAGATTTTTTTTTAATTCACATTCATTTTGTCTCATTATTATTTTATGATTTATTTAATAACAAAACAAAATTAAGGTTCCCTATGCACGAAGAAAAATGTTATTAAACTTGGTCTTTCTGATGCTTAGGCTTTCTCATCAATGTTATTCTCAAGTCGCTATTTAAAATAATAGAACATCTGGGAGCTATTGAAATTTATAATAATCAAAGAAAAGAGAATGTTCTACAAAACCATCATGCCTTAATTCTTTTGCAATTTAATATTCTTGTTCATATCTTTTGCACAGAGAGCAACCTCGGTTAGCAATTGAACTAGCAATATTTCCAAGGATGGACTTGCTAACTCTTCATCTTATTGGGTCACATTACTTGGAGATGATAGCCCAATCTATGAGACCACTTATCACTGCAGGCAGACGTAATCACACCGAGCTTTCCTCCTCATTCTGCTGTGTAAGACTTCATGCCTCGATACACACGAGAAGCAGTGGGCAATGTCATATGTAAATCTGGCTCCGAAAGACAGTTTTAACCTGAGGTCATCTCCTGTCTGTGGAAAGTTATTGACCACTTCTGAAAACAGCAACTCAACGAAGGGAAAAACGAAAGAGAACAAAACAAAGCAAATCAGGAAGGAAAGGGCAAATGCAGCCCCTGCCTTTGGAGAACGTTGGTGCAGAAGAGCAGCTCCTGAAGGACTGAACGCCCTGGAGAAAACCTGCACTGTGGCATCCTCAGGACGTGCCATGAAACGCTGTGGACACTGGTTTCCTCTCCACCACTGCATCCAACTGTCCCCCGAGGTCACCCGGCCCCCAGGAAGGCACAGGCTGAGAACGACCCGCGTGTGTTTTCTAGGGACTCTTTCCTTTCTTCCCTTTTTAAAGTCAGGCTTCCCTTCTCCTTTCCCTTTCCTTGCTTTTTTCTCCCCTTCGCAGTTGAAGTTCAAAGTGTTGCCAGGCAAACCTGACATCCTGTTGTTGCTTTCACTGCTTCTTCCGAAGCGACTCTCCCTATGCTTATTTTTCCACTACAAATTCCTTTTAGGCATCCTTGAAATAATGAAAACAGATCACTTATTTTCTTACTTCTGGAAAGCACAGGAAAGCATAGAATTTTAAATTCAAGCTGGGAATACTAGTCTGCCTATTTTTTTAATTTCTCTTGCATCATCTAATAGGCTTCAATGTTATAAAAAAGAAAGGCATGTGCCTTTGAAGAGATTTAAATCTCAGACAAAATGTTCAACTTTTACCCCAATCATTAGTATATCACCAAGGAAAAATGCACCTTTCTTTGCCAAATGTAGGTATTGCTAAAGCTCTATGAACAAATGCTTATGTGTATCTGTGAGCCAGGATTTAAACAACAGGCGTTCTGTAAAAACAGAATTCAGCCACATAAACCCAGAGAACTTCAGCTTTTAAAATCCCTCTGTAGAAAATACACGAGTACATATTGCCCTACTGCTGCCTATATTCTTCAGAAAACACTGAAGTTTCTGAGAAAGCAGCACACACTTTGGGCATCACCAACAGTGAAGGCTGCAGCCCAAACGAATACGCTCAGAAGTGGAATAAGGTTGTACCTACTGTGTTCTTGCATGGGAGACTTTAGGAAAAAAAAAAAATGAGGACGATGCCAGGATGCAGCGAGCTGGGGCAATGCTGACCCCTTGGCACAGTTTCTGTGGGAAGACCGGAGAGGCACTGCTGCAATACTACCTAAACCCTGCATTTCAAAACACCATCCTCCTTCCCCCGAGAGCCGTGGTCACCAAGCTGCCAGCTGCACCTTTCCTGTGACATTCCAGATCAAATTCTAAATGGAAAATGATATTGCTTCCATCAGATTTCTCCTTACAATTACAACTTCCTATTAAAATGAGTGGAAATTTGATTTCTTTTCAGAAGGCTACAATTACAGCAGATAATTATGCGTCCTTCTAATTACTGCTTATAAATACCCACTATGTAATACGGCTTAGAGCCTCCTCCATTAGCGTACTTGCAGTAAACAGAAACCAATATGCCAATATGCTTCATTCAGTCCATGTCATTTTGACACTTACATCAGATATACAAATTTTATCTTCCTTACAAGCCCTTGCACTGTTACTGACATCCTTCTCAGAGCTCTCCCGAGCAGCACAGCAGGCAGATTGATATGGCTTGTATATACTGATTTACTGCAAAAGTGAGGCACTTGAGAGGCAATTACTATTTTGATAGCACTAAGTTGGCTAAAAAATAGCAGCGCTAAGTCAATGCTCTGCTCTCACTTCTCCTCATCAATGATGGTACATGATGAACCTTAGAAGGTTAAGGCTGTCTTTTTAAACCTATTTAAACCTATTGTGTTTGGTTGTTTTAACATTGTTAAAGAGGTTCAAAGTCCTGACCTTGGTTATTAGCAACTACTTTAATTCTTTATAGAGCCTCTAATGAGATAAGTTTTGCACAATGATAAAACATTAGGATTTATAAATAAATCTACAGTGCAAAACTTAAGCATCGTGTCAAAGAATGGAGAGATGCTATGGCTACAATTTTCAAAACTGACTGAATGATTTAGGAGCCTGGGCTCTATTCCATCATCAAGGGTGCCCAAGGAATACCGGCACTTGAAAACCACTAACCTCGAAAACCATCAAGGCCATGAAGGGGTCCCATCTAACTGCAGCTAATCTAACCTTCCCAACACAAAGTTCTGGCCATTCAAAGACCAGCAAAGCACCCAAAACTTACCCTGAGACAACACGCACGCAGGTCCACAACACAGGCTGCATGTGCTCTAGCTGTGTTAAATAATCCTCAGCCACCAGACTGACTCTGGAGGAACCTCACTTTGCCTTACACGAGGCTGCCTGGAGGTCTCCTGCTCCTCGTCGTGTGTCCCATCTTTCCAACTACTTGCAGGGATGCTGAGACCAGCTTAGCTGCTCTTACTGTGGGACAGACACAACTGCTCTGCATCTCACTAGTCCCTAACGGGAGACATCCAGATGAAAAACAAGTAATAGCACTATGCAAAATTAGGACAGATTAGAAACCATCTTGTTCAACCTTTGTGAATGAGATGCAAATACTTTTACCAGTAGAATTTGCTTAGTAAGCACTGGAAAGTATGGATATAGCATCACTGTCAAATTCAGGTAGGAAAAAGACAAGCTTATTAAAAATAATTAAAAAGTTGTATATGGGAAGGGTCTGTCAATGTCTCAGGCATGCACTAGGCAGATGGGAGCACAGGTCAGGTGCTAATCAGAGCTTTTCAAAGGGAGCCAGATTTACCCCCTTTCATCCCAGGCAGGCTCTACTGGAGGAAATGTAGGAAATGAAACTGGAAGGGAAACACTGTCCTCCTGGGAGACTGTGGTTGTCTCAGCAATTAAAGCCTCCCCAGGGGGTTAATTACACACATGGAGAGCCCAGCGTTTTACAAAATGTTTCGAGAGTGTCATAAAAATGGCACACGCCTTGGAGAGCTTCGTTGTGAAACAGCAGTTTATGTGGGTTGGTACCAGGTAACTTGTCTTCTAAGAGGCAGCAATGGTTAACATTTCATTAGTAGCTGAAAAGATTTGCTTGCCTATGGAGTGAACTATCATGAAAAGAAATTAGCAGGTCAAGTAACAAATTAACCCTCTGTACTGTGTTCTGCACTACGCCAAAATCATTTTGAATTTTTAGCAAACAAAAATAACCATGGAATATCCAAAAGTATATTTTGCTGTATTTTTCAATCACAAATAGTAATTGAACTGTGAACTACTTTTTTTTTCTGATATGCAGTATGTCCAAATATATCTTTAACTTGTACAGATTTTAGGCATTTGCCTAAAATATATAGTAGAATTGACTGATTACGTGGGACAATATGGTTCTCTTTTATTCTTTACTTCATAAATTGACAAGAGAACAGAACACAGGACCTTCTATCCAAAGAAGAAAATTCACCACAATGTAGAGCAATGTGAAAGAAAACTCATGTGGTAAAACCAGTAGTATACAAGTATAGTACTCCATGAGTAACATTCATATGAGTGTATGCGAGCTATTTATAAAGCAAAACATTCATGTAAAAATAGATTAGGTCTAGAAAATAACTGAGATAGATACCCTTATTAGATGGCAACATTTTACTTGAAAACGGTTGTTAGTAGTTTCAGTAAGTGAAACTTAATTCTGATGATACTGTAAAAACCAGAAAAATAGTTTTTATGATAGATCTGAGATCTGATCTGGGGCTTAACTTCAGAGACTGGAAACAGATCCATCCACAACCTCTGGATTACTCAGTGTGCATAAAGTGCTGTCTTTGTAGAAATGGTGGCATAGGAAGGGTCTCACAAATTAACGGAGATATTTAGGAGAAGATGTCACCGACTGTGAAAAGAAATAACCAATGAACCAACCAAAAAAAACAAGTCCTTTTCCTCCAAAATACTCTAAACCTTTGTCAAAACAGGGAAAGAAGGAAAGAGTTAAGAGTCAAGGGCTATGATGGGCTATGATATAAGATCAGAGGTGGAAAACAAATGTTTTGAGTATCTCTTTTATTGTTCAAGTGCTCATGAGTTGCTACGTACATTATTTCTTCAGTATAATCCAGCAATTCCCATCTTTGTGTGAATCTTTCACACGTCCAGGGAAAAGACTTTCTTGGAATAGGAAATGATTTTAAACTCCAAAAATAACTTAACTTCTTAACATATATTCTCCACTTAATCTTACCTCCAGAAAATGCTCTGCTTGTTGTTCCCGATCCAATTTTCTTGCTGTTGTTGTAATCAGACCTGTAGAAAAAGGGTAATATTTGATTGTCAATATCTGCTGAAAAATATATGTCTCTACTGACCATAAGAAACAAGTTCATTCTTTGAATGCTCAAAGGGAAAAAATCTATTTGAAGCTGTATCAGGCACAGACTTCTTGACATCTGTCAAGCATTTTCTTTCACAGCACTGCCATTATGAGATTTTCTGACTAACAATGAGTCTTTAAAGAAAAATACCATGAAAAAAACTAACTGAAAAATTGTTAGCTGCATATCTACAGTTAACATGCTACATTTATTACAGTGAATAAAAAAAAACCCTTACTAAAGAATCACTATTTGTCTTATGATTAAGTGCTTCAGTGAATCATTTGCATTTGATTGAAATCCTTCCGTAAAAACCTCATTAAAGATTTCAGAGTTCTCAAACAATTAATGGGAAAGGATGCTGATTACTTCTACGCCAAGAATACTTGACAAAGAAGGCTATTTCTGTAATAACTACTTGTATACATAATGATTTCCAAATGTAATCATTCTAATGCATTAAGGGTTTTGTACTACAATTTCATCAATTTGTTCCATGTTCAAACTGATTCTTTAGAATAAGGTATCCTTCCACATGAAGATGATCAAGATTTTTTTTCTTAAGCAATGCACTTTCAGAAATGATTAACCTCTTGTGAGATTTATATTAAGGAAAGAAATTGAAATGCTTCCAAATTTCTCTAAAGAAATTCTATAAAAATAGTTACTGTTTTTATTTTTTTCTCAGTAGAGATTTGAAGGTCATTTGAGTTATCCCTTATACAAAATGTTTCTTTGAATAGGAAAAAGCATTTGGTGCTTTTTTTCTTTTTTCTTTTTTTGGTGACTATTTTTAGTGAACATAAACACAGCACCTCTTCCTGGGGGTATGTATTATACATCTTTGGGAAGACAATGCCAATGTACAGTTATTCTCAAGAATTCCTCCTTTCTACGACTACTGAAGAAGATAGGAAAGGTGATATTCGCTGGACTATCTATAAGATTTATTTAATCAGACCAGCCAATCACCTACACCTAAATCCATGATGAATCCATTCAGTAGTAACTGCATCTTACATCTACATAATAGTCCCCATAGTCCCATAAGGCTTCTCCACCTACAGCCCTTTACGCAATGTTGCCATGTATTCAGGGGAATGACTCCCAACTCTTTTCTTGAGATGAGGGAGAATTTTCTCAATAAAGATGGGGAAATACTGCTAGGAGTTATGGGACAAGCTGAACATTGAAAATTAAATTGTGTCTCCACACTTAAGCCTCATTCTGAGATATATTAGACTAAGGAAATGACACATTAGGGGAGGCCGGAGAAACCTAACTAACTGGACCATGAGAAAATCTTTGTGCTATTTCTGTATCAGAAAATCAGTTGCTGGCAAAAGGCTAAGAAATAAAAGCACTTGCTATTTCCCATATTGAGCAATTATAATTAGTCAAAATAGTCACAACATATGGGATGGTTATACCCATTACATTTGTTTAAACAGACAGGACAGCAAGGATGAAGAGTTTGTGTCATTCACACTAGACCCCCATGTGTGAAGAAAATGCGGAGATACAGGGAAGTTCCTAATTATGAAAGCAGTTTGTCCCCAACAAAGTGATAAGTGAATATCAAGAAGATATTTCATGGCTTTAAACAGCCCCATTTGTCACTTGCATGATCACTGTGTATATTTGTCAAGCACGGTCTCATCGCTGGAAGGAATATGATCATTTTTCCAAAATCTTCCACTTTCTTCCTCCCTGATAAACTACTATAAACTAAATTAACATTTTCCTTAAGCCAGGAACGTGTAGTGTGCTCATCATTTTGCTAAATGTTACTCAGACCTCGCTGAAATACTAGTGAATGCCCAAACACTGTAACCATGCAGGGAGGGTTTCACATTTCTTTTGAAAACAAAGAGGTAATATTTGAAACTGAATTTTATTAACTGACAGCACTTATTTTTACACTGGTAAACAAAAATGATCTCAGAAGCATTACTGTAACACTTTTTTTTTCCCTTTTTCCTCTTCAGAGGAAAAGTCCAGAGCTTTTTAAACAGCAGGTCTGCACCCCTGCAGAACTGAATCCCCTACTAAGTGGGTACAATCATATGGCAAGTCCCTATGACAGAATTGTACATATTTCAAATGTAATGGATCTTAACAGTCAGTCCTGAAGGCAGGTAACTACAGCAATCAAACATAACCATCAAAACCTTAGACCAAACACAACCCCCCTACTGACAGTCAATGCCTTTATACACAGCTCTACAATACCGGTTATCAGACCTGATCCTGAGGGACGGTGCCTGCACAGATGGTTTGTTTTTCCTACAGTCTTATGTATATTTTAAAGACAGTTCATAGGGTCATAGAATCACAGAATGCTTAAGGTTGGAAGGGACCTCTAGAGGTCATCTAGTCCAAGCCCCCTGCACACGCAGGGTCACCTAGAGCACGTGGCACAGGACTGCGTCCAAGCGGGTTTGGAAGATTTCCAGAGAAGGAGACTCCACAACCTCTCTGGGCAGCCTGTTCCAGTGCTCTGTCACCCTCACTGTTAAATTTTTTTTCCTTAAGCTCCTGTGGAACAGAAGTGTCCTATAGACACTGATTAGATCCCCTCTCAGCCTTCTCTTCTCCAGGCTGAACAGGCCCAGCTCCCTCAGCCTCTCCTCGTAGGGCAGATGTTCCAGGCCCCTGATCATCCTTGTAGCCCTGCGCTGGACTCTCTCCAGCAGCTCCACACCCCTCTTGTACTGTGGAGCCCAGAACTGGACACAATACTCCAGATGTGGCCTCACCAGGGCTGAGTAGAGGGGCAGGATCACCTCCCTCGACCTGCTGGAGACGCTCTACTTATACTACCAACTGGGTGCAGCTTCTATGTAAGTAACATTTCATATAAGTAATTGGTCATGTGTGTGTACAGCCTTGGGCTCTCTGGTTTCTGCTCCTGTACACTGCAGGACTCTCCTATCCAACACTCTTGGTGGCCCCACCACATACGCTCGCTTTCATACACATTCTACTACTGAGACAATACACATATCGGTATGCATATGCACTGAGCGTATACACTCTATACAACAATAGTGTTTAAAAGCACACATGGATACAATAATTTCTCAACTACTTGATAATAATATCTCTGTAATTATGGCCGTGCATTGGTATGATTTAGAACCTGGCCTTTTCAGATTATAAAAGTGCCTTTCAAGGAATTCTGCTTATGACAAATCACCCAAACTGAAAACAGAAATAATGTTACCAGTAATGTGTAGGACTCCACATCACTTTCCCAGACCAGCCTCAAAGAAATCAGTTTAATTTCATGAGTTTTATGAGAACTGTGATGTGTGCCACCTGTATTCGATATTCCATCTCATAAAAGCGTAATGGTGTAATATTTAGCAGGATATAGAACATTATATTACAGATCCAGGGACAAGAAGAAACTTGGCCTTGCTCAAGAGAATACATCTCAACTTTGGTTCTTCTCCAACTGCATTAAATCTTCATACTCTGTTGTTATCAAAAGATATTATCTAAAGAAAATATCTCCAAGAGGAAAACATGCTCAAGGAAATGATGTTGAAGATAGATTTTGGCTACACTGCAGGTAATGATATAAAATCACAGGGAGCCAATGATAAAAATGATCTTTTTTCCCCCATCTTCAGTACGTGTGGTAGTTCCTCCGGATATGGACATACGGACAGTTGTCCACAACCACCCGGGAATACCAGGCATCCATGACCAGGCAGCTATCACCAAACAGCCACAACCACCAATTAGTCTCAGAAGTCATTCCATGCCTCTCAAATGGTTTCTCTCAAATTTATGAGGTAGCATCATGATCTTGTTAAGAGCCGAAGATATTTATCACAGTAATCATGAAGAATCATCACAGCTTTGATGATTCTTTAAGTATAGCCATGAAAGCAAACAGGCAAACTGAAATAACTAGAAAAGTTAATTTGTAGTAAAACTATCAGCTTGAGCTTCTGATGCAGTGGGCAGGAGGGCAGCTCCCTCAGCACAGATGCTGGAGGCCTTGCTGAAATCTGCAGCTCCAGACAGCTTCCATGATACCGGATGCTCACAAACAAGATTATGTGATTCTTTTCTTTGACCTTACGACTCAAAACATCCTCTCTCCTTGCATCCTAGCAGACTCTTTCCTGAAACTACATAATCCAGCTGTCTTCAGAAGCTCAAGAACGTTGCTTGATCTGATTTTTCTGTCTGGAGATGACCATATGTTTTTCAATAACTCACTTTTCTGCAAATCTTTTTACTTTTGGTATTGGAATATTTCTCCCACCCTAAATAAATGAACAATTGCTGTTCTCCTTGTGTTCCAGACTTGGGAAATAAGGGAAGCTCTATGAGCTCACCCTGCATGACAGGTCCCATCTAACTGTGGGACACTGCGATAAGAACTGCTGGCTGGCCCTGACTGAGAAACCTCCTTACAACACCGCACTGTCCCCTGCGTGAGACCATCACTCCCTCCTGCGTCATCCTTCTGCAAAAGAAAACTCAGCATGTGGACACAGAGGGACCGGGAGTGTCTTTCATCCCATCTCTGCATTCGCCAGACCAGAGAGCCTGCGATGAGGGCTGTGCTACAGAGCAGTCCTGCCTTACAGCCTAGATGCAGCCCCCATGGAATAAGGGACCAGGACTCAGGAATCCTGACACTTCAACCAGCACCAGCCTATATAGTTTTCAGCCAATACATCATCTTGGAAAGAATTCACCAGTTGTTAGAGCCCGATCATTTGATGAAGGCCCCTGACCAACACTGAGCACTAACTCTTGTGCACATGGATTCAACACTTCATAAATGCAAAGAGAGAAAATCAAATGAATTGAGTGACAAGATCAAAGCTCATGCAAATTATTTCACATTTGCAATGGGTGAAACATGCAGTTGTTTGAGAGCAAATGAGGAAACCTAGCTTACTTTTC